CAGTTTTTTACCAGCCCTCACAATATTTTTTCCAAAAATAAAGATAAGACTGTTTCACCGACTCTTGCTTGTCCGAAAAATGTTGTAGTGTGCAGCATCGCATAGTAGCTGTTGAACAGACTATAATGCAGATCGTGAATGAAGTCCGAAGTGTTTTTCTCAATGTCATGTTTCACGCTTGCAGTCTCGATTTCAAATTTGTAAAATGTTGATAAATTATGGTGCGATATCCTTCAGGTAAACACAGTAATGTAGACTATTTGCCCATTAATGCGATAAATAAAAATATAGGTACTCACTAACACAGCTGAACCACCGGCTCGGAGGGCCGGTGTTTTGCCAATGTTACTGGCCCTCCAAATAATTTGCCGGCATATGCCGGTGGGACAGTGCTAATTCCGCGCCCTGTTATTATTAAAGTGTCATACCCAAAGTATCCAGTGGTAGTTTCGTTCATTTACTGGCATTATCACAGTCTTGGCTTTGCACAGTTGTCCTGCAAATGAAGAACATAACAATACAATTACTCAGTTACAATTACACGGTCACCGGTTTCAACCACTTCACTGGAGGACAATTTAATCTCCTACTCAACTACCATTCCTATACAACGGGTGCTAATCATGTAACATACGCCTAGTCAAGAAACTTCAGTTGCCCATCACTGTATATATGAGCCATTCACACAAAGCATGGCAGAAGCGCTTGTGCCAGGATGTATGACACAGCAGCTCTATGATGCAGGAGATTCATCAGTGCTTGGTTCTCTTGCTTGGGGAGAAACATAAAAACAGTTTTCAGGAGCTTTTGGGTCGCGGCTATTTTCGTGGGTCGGTCGGAGGACAGCAAACATATAATTTTTTAAGGATGGCCTTAACAGTAAGTTAAGTTAACTTAAACGTAACTGTTAGTTACTGTGTTAACGTTCGAAGTCGCCACAAAACCATGTATTTTTTTAAATTCCTTTAGGTGTCTATTGCCAGAGCTGAACATTAACAGCTAGAATGATAATGCCCCGTATAAAATTTCCACATACACTGTCTTATATTATACGCATTGAACAATGAGGAAGTCCGCATGATAAATCAATTTATACTACACCAACTTACGTCAGGTTTGTGTTACTTATGAGCCTTTCAAGTTATCACAGTTAAAAACTTTGACCACATACACAGAGACCGGATTCTGTTAACGTGTCTATTGAACGCAAGAGATCTCGCGAGAAAGTAGCCCGTCACATCGTGACAAAATCCGATGTTAATCAGGTAACCGATTAAGCTGATTAATTTGTGGCAGACACTATAATGTTGTATAAGAATTTACCCAAGCATCATTCTTGAATTCGCAGTGTCCCTTTATGCCGGTGATTACGCTGCGTGGCGATAGTGATTCCTATAGGGCTCCTTGGGTGGTGGATGCAATGACTGGCAATCATAGGATCCTGCGACCTCAGCTCCCTAAACAAAGCATAGGATCGACATTCAATGACAGCATTAGAAAGAATACCTGATACACTGATACAAGTACAACGTCTTAGCAGTAAAATGTAGCTAAGTACTATTAGCAGGAGTCGAGAAGATGAGATTTGATGAAAGCAGGGTCCTTCAACAATGAAAGGGTTAGAGACAGGACTATCGGGCATGCTGACAGGCCTACGTGTCTGTTCTCTTTAGCAATTGTTTAATCAAAGAATTATTTGCAGCGTGGTTTAGCATAAACCTCGCACTCAGGTGGGAAAACCCTCGGCTGGACCGACGACTGACCCGGGATGAAAACCCCACCTCTCCACAGCACAAGCTAGTATCCTCTGCAATTTACTGCTACCTCTACTAACTACCGTTTTTTCTAATACTTACGTTGTGTAGCTGTGGTCACTGAAGGCAGTGTCCAGTTGAAGTTGATCCTGATTGTATTCGGAGGAATTTTGAGATCGCGGCGCGCTCCGCTTATACTTGATGTGATCGCACACGTCGGCAATCATGCGTTTGCGCTTGGCGGCTTCTCTCTCCTTTCTGCGGCGCCGCGTCCAATACGTTGCGGCAATCAACATCTGTCGCAGCGCCAATGATGGCCGCTTCCTGATTGGGACTTCAAAGGGTTCATTGAAAAAATATTGCTCAGAAACGTGCAATCTGAAAAAAATATAGCAAAATATAGTTCTACCTCACAGCAGATATTACTGATTACAGCAACTTGAAAAACAATAAGAATCTATAGGCAGTTATAACATAGAAAATTGAATTTGAATACATTGTAACACCATGGCATATTTGATTATAGCAAGAATCAATTTACAAATAGCGCCTTAGTCAGAATGGGTAACTTGTAAATTGTTGGTGCACTTACTTAATTACACATGCACACATTCTGCAACTAATTCAAACAAAGCGGCATCTGCATCTTGTGTAGTTGATGTTTAGCTTTTGTAACAGTAATTGGCCGATAACTGGCGCTAGTCCGAGATTTGCAAGAAATGGCAGCGGTAATCAAAACGAGTAATAAATATTTGAATTGTGCATGTTTTAGGGAATGTAGCCAAGTAAGACCTTAATTTTTGTCCCTACTCTAGACAGTTGATGCGTTGATTCCCTGTCTCGGCACGTTCATCCGTTTACAATGAGATTATTGACACTGCAAAATAAATTACCATTGTACTGTAGTTATGATAGGCATTATTATATATGTCAATAAACATTTTGATCATTATTTCCCTTTAATAAATCACGGTGAATAGTAATTGTACTGTGTTATATCCAATATATTCATCTGGTTTATTCTATATATATATGCGCACTTTGGAATTATTCTTCACACTTGATGGCGATAGGGTATCAAAATTCAACATAGCATTTGCTAATGCTATTGGATGCTGCCCCCCCCCGTCCCCCCACGTAAAGAGCAGTACATTTTAAAGCGCATTTGGAGTTTCGACTTTATGCCTTTCTAGCGGATCACTATATCTCCCCGGAGACATGTAAATTTCCATCTATGTTAAACGACGCAGGTACAATTACATGTAGTTTCATTCCTCGTTCGTTAACATATTGAGTCAGTTCTGCGAGCTTTCCTTTTTGCTATTTAGGTAGTAGACGTTTGTATTACAAGGCCATATAGCCAGAGAGACATGATACAAGATTGCGTGGCACAGCTTTGCTGTTGATCCTAAGCATCCGTAAGCGCTTGCGCCGCGGGTTCAGTGAGTACGTGCGCGAGCTTCCGCGGGTGATTATGCGCACGCGACCCGCGATGTGTTCAAGTATGAAGCGCTGTCCGTCGCAGGTAGAGACGGTGCGCCAAATTTCGGGAGGCCGGCGCCACGGTCTCCACAGGGCTCGGTGTAGTGTCGTGTTTGGTCGAGCGGGCAGGTCATGGTTGCTTCTTTTAGAAGGATGACAATGATGTATATCGGACGAGTATGTCTAGAAATTTTTGTAGACGTGTTTGTATGTAGTGTTAAGCGCTATCTATTTTAACTAAA